TCTACACCAGTCAATTTGTATACTAATCGTATGTCTAAACTATTTGTCTACCCCGACCCCCTATGCAGACGTCCAGGCCCGTTTTGAGCAGGTGCCCCGTAATAGGCGGACTGACCCCCCGCTCAACGCCACGGCACTGATGGCAGTGGCCGCGCGCGACAATATCTCCTCTATAGTGGAGTTCCGGTTGAGACCGGTAGCCGCTCGTTGGCGGTACCAGATGTACGTCATTGTGGACAAGGAGTACGTGTTCTGGTGGGACGAGTCCATGAAATTGCAGTACTTCAAGGGCGTGACCCTCTACCAGCCCGCGGGCATACAGAATATGTCGCACGTGATCGCTATGTTTGACTCCGGGGTCGGTGTGGAAGTGATGACCGATGGCGGACACCTCACTGTCCACGTGTATATGCCCTATACGTTCCTGGTCAGTTATAATTCATGCGTTGAATATCTGTGCAATAATTGTTTGTTAGGGTTAGGAGGGTGTGTGGGGTATGTGACTATAGGATGATAATGCACTTTATGATAGGAAAATGCAATCAATAATTGTTTTGTTAGCAAAATAAAGAGATTTCTAGAGAAATGCAATGAAGTCTGTAATCAGTATTCGTATAGAAAAGGAGTGCAAATGAAATGAAAGGGTATTAAGAGATTTGCATTGAGAATAAAAGTGTAAAAAAGCACTTATCTCTCAAACTTATCACTAAATACAATGCAAACAACATTGCATCAAGCAACAAGCAATCAGTATTTGTTGCACTGATACGTCCATCATATCATAAATGAAGTATTTATCAAATATTAACAATAATTTATCATTTTATTGGTGCCTATGAACGTATAGAACGGGACGGGAGGGCTGTTGGGTTTATATTCGCGTGACATCCGGGACGACTTTACGCTACCTAATGGGCAACAGATATCACTGCAGAGCACTCAGGAGGACATCCATATGCGGTTTGGGAAGGCGTGGAGAGTGCAGGAACGGGTGGCTATCGGGGACCCCAATCAGGTGGCCTCCCTCTTCCATCACGACGCCATACCGTTCGCCCACTACGACGACCCCAACTTCCTGCCCGACTTCGGTCTACCGCCGCGACTGCCCGATTGGGCCGAACGCCTGCGCCCCGAAATGGAGTCCGTGTGCGCCGACTCCGTGTCCTGTCAGTACGACTACGTGATCACCCTGAACAAGGACTACGCCAAAGTGACCAAGCAACACGAGGCATACGCACTCTACCTGGCCAATGAGGCTAATAGGAAATGTGAGACCATATACCCGTGCATTCAGACGCCAGATGCTCATTATATGTGTGTTTGACTTACAGATCCCCGATGCCCGGCCCTACCGAAGCCCCTGAATGGTCGCAAGTCTGAGAACAAGTATTGGCCAGGTACTATTGTCAGGTTCTCGTGCGATGATGGCTACCGATTGGTCGGTAATGAAACGCGCCTTTGCCGAGAGGACGGCCAGTGGTCTTTGGGTGCGGACCCCAAGTGTATCCGTGACCCAGAGGAAGGAAAAAGAGGAGACATTTATCCAAAAGATTTCTAACGTTTTTAAGATATGAATCGTTTTGTTAGAGACTGGGAGTCAAGAAATTTATTTTTATAGCAAAATATTCATATATTTCCACAGAATTTGCTTGAATTCTATGTTTAGGATTGCATTTTATATTGCATTTTCATTGCAATATAATTGATCGCTTTAATTATCAACAAAACAAATGCTTTTTAATTTTGTGATTAAAGTTTCATGCTATTTTCGCTTGTTAATCATAATGAATTGCACTGCATATTAAGTTTTTATATGGGTTTGGGGTTTTAAAATTGAAGCAAAGTTTTAATAAACTAATTTTTCTACTTGTACATTGATCAATTATATGAATATTAAATATGAATATTAAATAATATCGAAATTTATTTATTGCTACATTAAAGTCATATAATGATTATATGGAAATTAATGGACAGTCAGCCATATCTCGTATGAATCTCCTTAAGAAAGAAATGCGTTTTTTATTTCAAAGTTAATAAGATTTTTGTTTTAAGAAAACAAAACAAAAAATATATTTTCAAAAGAGAGTTCAATAACGTCTCGACACATGAAAGAAAAAGACATCGAATTAATGGTTAGAGAAAAAGACAAATACAAAAAAAAAACAAGAAAATGCATTCAAACTAAGAACGAAAGGTTAATTACGAACAAATCCAGTGGATTACCCATCAGGACAACTACGAGGGTCTCAAGGGGTCGGCAGCTTATGTAAGTCCCGGTGTTTAGAAGTTACCCATAAATCCTAATTAAGAGTTATATAATAAATGCATTTATAATTATAGGTGGGTTTCAACGCTGGTAACACTACCCGTACCTACGAGTTCAGGCCGTTCTCGCAAAACCCTCGCGTATCCTACCTGACCACCCGGGGCTGTGGTAACGGTTTAAGAGGGCGTCACTTTTTCCAGATTGACGGGGAGGTGTGGCCGGGCGCCTGTATCGAGAAGGCCTTATAGTATTGATAATTAAACACACGTTTTGTCGTTGAATTTATTTGTTTTATTGATTTCCGGAAACTTTATGCGAATATATTATTCAAACATTACATCAAATACTTTAATACTTTTTGTTTAACACAAGTATTGATTGTTTTAGTCATAGATATAACAGTAGA